GTTTCCCATATAATATGGAGATGAAGAGGGATTTCTTCTCAGAAGCTCCTAAGACTTTGGAATTCTCTGTCCTGGAGCATAGTGGATGCCGAATTATGGAGTATACTCATGGGTGATTTAGACAGATTTGTGATTGGTGATGGAGCGAAAGGTCATGGGGGAAAACAGGCAGTAAGGTCACAATCGGGTCAACTGCTGAATGGCAAAGTAGTTTCGATGGGCCAAATGGCTTTCTCCTGTCCATCAGGTTTTCTGCCTCCACAAATCATTTACTCCATCAGAACCCTGCTTTATTTTGAGACCCTCTATCAAGTCTCTGCACGTTCTCTGGTCTAAGAGTACTGTCTTTCTGGTCTCCCCACAAAACTAAAAGCCCACTTTGTGTTTTTGGTCAACTCCTCTAAGCCCTCGATACCCTTCCTCAAACGTGATGCCCAGAAGTGAACACAGTTCTAGCTGCAGACCGACCAGCACGCTACAAAATGGCTCAAAAGTAAACAAAAGCAGCCAACTTCAGGTTGCACCCCTCCTAAAGAAAAGGCAGTGTGCACATTGAATATTTACAGTAGAAACCACAGATGGAGGAAAACTTACTGCGTGAAAATCACAGAGCACACGACATAATCCTGCACCACCCATAGTGACACACATTACAGCTACCAGTAGTCAGGGATCAGGCATGAAACGGGAACTGTGTCCCAACTGGAAATTCAGCGACAAAGCAGTCGAGCGCGTGGCCGGAAAACCGGAGCTGCAGGTACAAGGGCAGTAGATTCCCAGGGGCTGTGGGACTGGTTAGAGAAGAGAGGTAAACAGGCTGCATCAGTGAGCAGAGACCTTTGTCCCTATAGGGCAGTTTGCTACTATCATTGGCGATGGTTTAACTCACTTGGCAGGGAGATCGAAATCAGGATGCAACATTAGTTAGGAGAAATAAGGCACAGAAAGGGTGGGAAGAGACAAATAACACTAAAGTATTTTTATGGTATATTCACAGGATGTAACTGTCATTGGCTGGTCTGGCATTTATTGCCCATCCCTAGCTATCCTTGAGAAGGTGGTGGGGAGCTGCCTTCTTGAACCTCTGCAGTCCATGTGCTGTAAAGTGACCCACAATGTCCTTAGGGAGGGAAATTCCAGGATTTTGACCCAGTGATTGTGAGAGAACAGAGATTTATTTCCAAGTCAGGATGGTGAGTGGCTTGGATGGGAACCTGTAGGAAGCGGTATTCCCAAGTATCCACTGCTCACCTTTCTAGGCAGAAGTGGTTGTGGGTTTGGAAGGTGCTGTCTAAGGTGTCATGCAGTGCTTCTTGAGGATAGTACACACTGCTGTTACGGAGTATCGGTGGTGGAGGGAGTGGATCCTTGCGGATATGGTGCTAATCAAGCGGCTGCTTTGTCCTGGATGGTGTCAGGCTTCTTGAGTGTTGTTGGAGCTGCACTCATCCAGGCAAGTGGAGAATATTTCACCACAGTCCTAACATGTCCCTTGTAGATTGTCAGGCTTTGGGGAGTCAGGAGGTGAGTTACTCATTGCTGAAATTGCTCTGACCTGCTTGCATTGCATATGTTCGGTGTGGATTCTGGTCAATGGCAACCCCAGAACTGAACACAAGAGTTCAGAAAGGTTGTGAACATTGCACAAGGTGGGTGGGTGGGGCCCAATAACTCCCTAAGTGGAACTCTGAGCTAAAGGCTGGCATATGGCTCTAGTAGTCATCACCACCACCTTACTTCTTTCTCATTCTCTCCCCAGCCCCCTGCCAATCTTCACTGAGGACACACAAGATTTGAAAAAGTCCCAGCAGGAAAAGGTGTGGGAAGCATAGACTGGAACAGTTTGGATTGCTGTCCTTAGACAGAAGAAGTTGTGAGGAGATTCAAATTGAGAGGTTCAAAAATTATGAAATGTATGTGTAAACTAGAGAGAAACTGGTGTCATTGGTCACAAGTTGAAAACCAAAGGGCACTAATTTAAAGGGAATGGGAGAAGAAACAACTGAGGAGAATAAGTGTTTCTTTCAATATACACATCAGGCAGGATCTAAAACGTACTAACTTGAGGCAAATTCTGTCAGGCTGTTCCTAATACAGGAATAACAAAAACGCAACAGGAATGGGCAAGAGAACGGGACAAGCTGAGATGCTCTTGTACTAACTTGATAGGTTAAATGGACTCCTTGTGTGGTCTAACGGCTCCGCTACTGCTTCCAGCAGAGCTTCTCCCAGGAGTTAAGTGTTTGGGGTGGGTTAAAACCTACATGCGGGCAGGTGGCAGATGGTCAATTTAAGAAGGTGACTTGGCAGGAAACAGACTGCACTTCCGTGTTGTATAGCTCCAGGACATTTAAAAAAAGTTTCTCAATTCTTTACTGCAGGAGTGAAATGGGGAGAAGGGGGGGTGGTGGGGGAGAAGAGAGAGAGCACGAGATGACAGAAGGGGGTTTGTCAGCAGCTGTTGGAGGATGTGGCATACAAGTGCAGATGCTAAAAGACAACATGGGTAGGAAAAACTACATGACTAACTCAAATCCCATTGTAGTCAGAGGTGTACAGCATGGAAATAGACCCTTTGGTCTAACTCGTCCATGTCGACCAGATATCCTAAAATTAATCTAGTCCCATTTGCCAGCATTTGGTTCTTATCTCTCCAAAACCTTCCTGCTCGTATACCCATCCAGATAACTTTTAAATGTTGTTAATTGTACCAGCCTCCACCACTTCCTCTGGCAGCTCATCCCATACACACAAGTTGCCCCTTAGGCCCCTTTTAAATCTTTCCACTCCTACCTTAAAACTACGCCCTCTAGCTTTGGACTCCCCTACCCAGGGGAAAAGATCTTGGCTATTCTTGGTCTTACAGAAAGGGACATCGAATACAAGAGCAAAGAACTGATGCTGAATTTGTACAAGAAATGGCTGAGCTGCAACAGTATACGCTTCCTGCCAAAGTGCATATTTTCCCATATTATATTCGGTCAAGATTTTGCCCACTCATTTAGTCTATCTATAACCCTGGGCAGACTCCATGCCATCAATACTTGCCTTGCTGCTTATTTATGGGTCATTTGCAAATCAGCTTTTAGTGAATTCACTCCTCTCTCCTAAATCAGAAATGTATACTGTAAGTAACTGTAGCCCCAACACCGTTCCATATGGCACACTACTAGTTGAATGTTGTAATTCTGAACATGCTAAACAGCTTTCCCAATCCCCTCCAGCCAGCTCTACCCTCATTCCTTTGTAATCACTCCTATTTAAGTTTAACACTGTTGTTTCTGACTTAAAATTTCCCAAAGTGAGTGCTAAATCCGACCGTGTTATTGTCAACGTATTTTAGAGGATCTTTTCATCTGAGATCATTTATTAAACCTGCCTCATAACATAAAATCCTTGGTTGGATCCACAACATTTCTATCCCGAATGCACTCTATGAATTCTTCTTCATGGTTATCTCTCCCAATTTCCCCTTGTGTTTTTAAACTGGCCCAATCTAGTCAGACTCTCATCATAATTGAATCCTCTCATCACAGGGACCTATTGAACCTTTGATACACCATCTTTAATGCAAGTTATATTACAGCTACAGGAACCAGTGTTGTCATGACAACACACACTCAAACATGCGCGCTGCAGTCCTAAGGCACAGGCAGTGACGGTACTGCCTTCAATGGTTTTTTCCAACCATGTGATGAACAGGAATCACCCCCTCTCTCTCTGCCAGCCTGGTGTAAGCTAGACACATTTACAAGTTGATGTTCACCTATTTGTCCATGTTGTGAAGATTCCTTCCTCAGTGTTCAAGACCTAGACTGGGATGCTGCCACAAGATCTCCAACACCAGTACATCCACTTTGAGATATGAAGACCAAAACTAGACACAGCGTGTCAAGTCCTACAGAACTGTATTGAAGACTTTTCAATGCTTGTATTCAGGTCCACTCAATATAAAGGTCGACATACCATTTGACTTCATAATTGCTTGCTGTGCCTGCATGGTAACTCAGTGCTCTTGATACAAGCACTCCCAAGTCTCCCTAGACGTCAAATTTCAAAAATTTTAAAAATTTATTCTGTGTTTCTGACCTACCACACACTTCTTCAAATTGGATTTCACCCACTATCAGGATGTTCACTCTCTTTGTGGTGTCTTTGTCTCCTCTGCAGAGTTTACATTCCCAACTAACTTTGTCTGATGAGCAAACTTGCACATATTAGTCTATTTAGCAGAGACCAAAAGTAATGTAGATTGTGAACAGCAGGAGCCCTGTGATGTGAACTGTGCAGCACCGGCCAAGAAAGAATAAAGTGAAGGACTGTTTCACTTGGTGAGGAGTCACTAACAGAGTGACACAGTTAGAAGTTTACTATTTAAAGACACAAGGGTGAAGTAAACAGAGCATTTAGACATGGAATGTTACAAGTGGCTGCAAAGACTATATCATTCAAGGTGGATGTAAACTGGTAAAGTATTTGCAATGACGGAAATTTCAAAAGATACATCAAAGGACAGGAAAATGTGAAGAGCCTATATTCGCCACGGCAGATGAAGCAAGGTGATTAGTGGCACAGTCCTGACTGAGAATTTAAATAAAATAATCTTCCAATTATTTCCTTCTAATTGCATAAGCACTGTGGGAAATAATTTCGAAATCACCACAACAGGTCCGCCAAACTTCCGGACAGGAAAAAGAAAGGGCTGTTTTATTGTCACCAATGTAGCGATTAGACTTGACCTTACTCAGGACAGTCTGTGCTTGCAGTGACTGTGGGAAGGCATTAAACTCAAACCTTTAGCATGTGGTAGCTCTACGGCACAAACTGCTTAGGGACAAATCAGAAACAGATAATTGTCATTCTCTCAAATCTTCACTCCGATAGTAATTTTGAGGCACACTACCATAGCTGAAACTACTAATGTGGAAAGTGTAACATGCTAGGGGGAAAACAGGCAACTTTAAAAATCGATGGATCTCCACTGCTGGGGTTTATCTTACCTCGTGTCTGAAGCTGTTGTGTTTGGACTGATGGGAGTTTTACTGTTCAGCTGATGTTGCCCTTTTTCTCATTGAGCAGTTCCGGTTGGTGCCAAAGGAAGGAGCTGATGCTGGGTTGGAGATCAAGTTGAAATGGTTGCTTTAAGATCTGGTCAAGCCCACTGACAGGAGAGCCCAACACTTGATCTGTACTCTCTGTATTGTCCAGGGCACTGCCCGTCTAGGTTAACAACCAGGAGACAAAAACCTCTTCAGCATAAGCCCGTTCCAGTTTCTGATTGGAACATGCAGATACTACAAACCCTACAGTGCTCAAGGAGCCACAGTCACTCAGGGTTAGGGCCCTAGAAAAAATGGGAAAAAGAACATTTAGCACAAGTATCAGGCTGTTGCTGTACACAGTCATCTGAACACTTCAACAGATAGCACTGATCAAAGTAGAAACGAGGTGACAGTGACATCCCTACTATCCGTTATCATTCATCAGATGGGAGCTACAAACGGCACCACAAGGAACAACTCACAACTACAGACAACACAACCCAGTCACCTGGCATTTTGCTCCAGAACAAGATTTAAACAGAGATGAGGAGAAATTACCACTCTCAAAAGGGGCATGAATTTGTGGAATTCATTACCCCAAAGTGCAATGGATGCTGGAACATTGAAGGGTTGGGACAAACTATTGTAGTGCTGCTTCTTGGTCAGGTTCACCTGATGAAGAGGCAGCGTTTTGGAAGCTTGTGATTTCAAATAAACCTGTTGGACTATAACCTTGTGTCGTGTGACTTCTGACCTTGCCCATCCTAGTGCAACACCAGCACCCACACACGAAGGGCTGTAGACAGCAGGCAGGAAAGTGAAGTTTAGGCCAAGTTGAGATCGGTCACGATCGTATCAAAAGGCGTAACAGGGTTGAGGGGCTGAATGGGCCACTCCTACTCCTTGTTCTTACAAACATGTCACAATCTGGTCATGTGGCTTTGCATATCTAACCCCAGAACTGCCACTGATTTGGAGCAAAGTTTAACCACATACACATTTTGATTGTGATTTGATTTCCTATTGTCACATGTACCGAGATACAGTGGAAAATATTGCTTTGCATGCTAGCCAGACAAATCATACCTCAAATAAGTACATCAGGGTGATAGATAAGAATGCAGAATACAGTGTTACAGCTACAGAGAGGATGCAGAGAAAGATCAACTTCAATACATTGAGCGGTCTGTTCATAAGTCTGATAACAGCAGGGAAGAAGCTGTTCTTGAATCTGTTGGTACTTGCTTTGAAACTTTTGTACCTTCTACCCAATGAAGGAGAGTGGAAAACATTACAACTGAGGTGGGTTACACTCATATCAAATATACACTCACATCAAATTGTAATGCAAATTACTGGAAACACAATCACTCTGCCACACAGAAATGGGGAAGGACAGCATGCTGGATTTGAAAGAGAAATCTACGAAGTTGGTAAAGTAAGTAAGCACAACATCATAGATTCCCTACAGTGTGAAAGCAGGTTGTTCAGCCCACCGGGTCCACACCAACCCTCCAAACAGCAGCTTTGACGTTGCCATTCGATTACCTTTCACGAAAAACATTTTACTGCAGCTGACTAAAAAGTTTACATCCAGAACATTAACTCCTCAACTTATGAATCCATGCACACTCCACACAATCTTCTCTCCCCACCCAACCACATCAGCTGTGGAGAGGGCACGCCCCTACAGTAACTGGGAGGCAGTCACTAAATGGGGGTGAAGCAGGAATAACTCACAGCTACTCTCAGGGTTGGCTCAATTACCTGTGCTGAGTGAGCTAGCACCTCTGCTGTTGTTGTTGTTGTTGCTGCTGCTGCTGCTGGTATCCAGGGTGGGGGCACAGGACTCAGCCTCTTGGTTGCTCCCTCCCCTTCTGTCCACTCGTTTCCTCCCTTGATCTATTTTCTTCTTTCCCCCTCTCCAATCACTTTCCCTCCCACTGTCTGTTCCCCTCGTTTCTCTGCCCGTCTCTGTTTCATTTCCCTGTCCTCAGCTCTCTCCCCCATATGTTCCCTATTTCCTCCCTATCTACTGAAACTCTCTACAACTCCCCTGTTATTTTTCACCTGGATTCTCTGCTATT